ACCCACTAAGAGCAGTTGTTCATAATGCAGTTGTTGTACTTCATCCCGCAGCTGCCCTTGTTCTCCTTCTTGCAGTTGTTGTAAAGCATCTTGCACAGCTTCTTGCAACTCGGCGGCTGGGGCGCCGGCTTCTTCGGGGGGAACTTGCAGATCTTAAAGCGCTTGTACGCCTTGGCGATGCAGCGGTCGGTCTTCTCCTTGCACTCGTCCGTTGCGCACATGTGATCCCTCACGCACTCCTTGCGGCTTTTCTTGAACTCCTCCATGCACGACGGTCCAGGGGTTTCCTCCTTCAGGACGCGCTCGACTTCCTCTATGATCGTTGATACATCTTCTGCGAGAGTATAAGTCCTGTGAAGTTAGTCTAAGTTGATGTAGAAACTATTGCGCAATCAGCACTTCAACTAGTTCACGAAATCCATGGGAATAAAAATCCTTACCAGGGACGGCATTAGCATCGACGAACACAGCGGCGAGCAGAACAAGCGCGCTGAGGAGAACGGAAGTCCTCATGCTGGCTGTGTGGGAAAACCTCACCCTTGGAAGTAGGATGTAGATTCTGTCAGGAAAATCGAGAAGCAATGTCTGTCGTGCATATGGAATTGGAAGTGCAATTTATAGAATTTGTAGATTGTGTAGCCAGGAGCTTGAATCCCAATTCCCATGTGGGGTGTTCAATGAGGACAGATTTCGAAGTCCAGCTTTGGTGAGCGGCTCGTTTGGACATTACGGTTCGGGATTAGGCCAGAGATTTGGCTTGCCACGCCGTCCTGCTTGTACCATTGGTTGGAAGTGGTGCTTACCGGGCCTGAGCCGCTGTTGTTACGAGACCAGGCAGGCTCGGTCACTGGTTCTAGAAGAACCAGGTATGGATGTGACTGGGCCTAAACCCTGCGTAGCTAGAGCCTCGAGCAGTCTGAGGAAAAATCGCGCGACGTGCCAGCGCTTAAACTTTTCTTACTCTCATCGACGAGGCTCGCACCGCAGGTAGGGCGACAAAACCTCGTCCAAATGGATCGACCTACATGCTTCTCCCCGTTTATTCCATGCTCCGAACGATGGAACGTTGACGTTACAGGTGCCATTTGGTTTTACAGCCAGAATAACGTGATTACAGCTTGTGGTTTCGATCATTTCATTAAAGACAAAATTTGCAACGTGTTACGTCACTTCAGTCTGGTCGAACAGAGAAGGCTTATATTAAGCTATTTTTATTTGGTCTGGTGTTTTATAAGGTGTAAAATGAACTAAGCACCTTGATAGTTCCTGTGTTTAGGGTTGATCCCTCCCGAATTGCACCACATTTAAGAAATTAACCCTAAACACTATGCTTCACATGTTTAGGGTTGATGTGTCCCGAATTGTATCCCAGCCTTTAGAGGTTAATTTATTTTGAGCCCCTGCTTAAATTCAGAGCTCCTTAGATGTTTCAAAGTTTTGCGATTGACACACGACAATAAAAATAAGTATGTAGAAAAAAAATGTGACACACGTACGAAACCTTTTTCGGCCATTTTCAGGTGCATGGAACAGGGTCGGGAAAAGCTCCTCATGTGCATGCTATCCCGTCGTGTTTCTCCCCCTGTTGTTATTGTTTCTACACCTCTGCCATGACAATTGTTGTTCTGCAAGGGGGTGCTACCCATGCGACTGACGCCAACTGGTGCAGCTCTCGCACGAACTCGTCATCCAACCACGCCAGTTGTAGCGTTACTGCGAACAAGGTCAATATATATCGCAATAGGCATGACTAAAAACGGAAAAAACAAATAAAACCCAATTGGAAACGCATAAGACTCGAGAGGAATCAACCCCAAACACCAGGGCAGTTCCCTGCTTTAAAGTTGATATCTTCTAAAAAAACGAGTCCAGGCTCCCAAGTTATTTTTATTATTACTTTTTATTTTTACTGCCTTATAGAACATCAACCCTAAACACCACAATTGTTCCCATATTTAGGATTGATCTATTCCTAACAATGTCCATGTTCCCCAAGAGTTGTATTTTATCTTTGCGGGCTTCTCTGCCAGGCCGATTTATGTGTTGCATGTGCTGCTTGTGTTACACGTTTTGCATCTCCTGACATAACAGTGTTTTTAGTAGCGGATGTGTACGAGGAGTGCAATAAATGGAGAAGTGCGACGGGATAGCATGCACGTGAGCTGTTTTTCCCGACTAAGTTGCAAGCACATGAAAATGGCCGAACATTTTTGCGCCATCAGAAACAGACAAAACAGCTGAAACTTGTAAATTTATCGAAAAGTACTACCGGACAAAATTTGCTCCGAAGGTTCTGTTGGCGCTACCGGAGAATATTAACACGCACTTTTAATATGAGCACGTTTAGTTATTATGCTGGTTAGGAACTCCAAACGTGATTGGTAGAAAAATGACACAAAATTTGTTCAGGGATGTATCAATCCTAAACAATATGCGGCAAGTTTAGGGTTGATCCCTCCCAAAAATACGTCTGGACAACTATATACCCTAACCAGAAAGGGATCCCATGCTTAGGGTTGAGTCCTCCCAAAAATGCATCGATGGGAATGCATAAACCCTATACACCTTACCGCATGGTGTTTAGGGTTGATGACTTCCTAAATGGCATACCACCTAAGAGGGTATATTATTTTTTGCCTGAAAAAGTGAAGTCGACCGGTCGACATGGACGGCGACCTTCTATACAAACGATCATCGTCTGTTTGTTAACCGTTTTGACCAATCGGTGTTGGATTTCCTAACGAGCGCAATAAGTGAACCCTCTCATGTTGGAAATCCACGGAACTAGTCCCTAGTAGTGCTAACAGTGCCTTCGGAGAGAATTTTGTCCACTAGTGCTTCTCAATAAACTAAAAAACCCAACTTGTAAGGTCACGGCAATGTAGCCACAGTTGCGACCTTGTTTTTTTACGAAAACACGAAAACCACCTGGCAAACATTATCCCATGCGAAACAGTAACTAGAAAACCCACCAGTGCCTATACATTGAATTGGTTGTCAATATCGCGTACGCGCATGTAGATCGATTCAGCTGGGAGGGATTCGGTCGCCCTACTTGCGGTGCGATCTTGGTCAATAGGATTAAAAAACGTCGGCTTGTCGCGCAATTCTACCATTAAGGGTGAATTGTTGAGACCAGGGATTTTCGAAGGTGAATGGCTAGGCGTCTCCTCATCTCAACCACGAATGACGTTGCAAGCTGGGTTGAACCTGTGGTTGGGTGAACCTACCACCTCGATTATGGGTTTGTTCCCCATTTGCCCCATACAGTATTTTGAAAATTGCCAGTCTCACTTGAGAAAAAATTGGGTGTCGTGTGAAGAATCTAATTTTGGACGTAACACGATCAGGTTCGAGTTGCTCTGCCCGTAAATCCCGACCAAATCCAAACACCTTCAAACCAAACCAAGCCGAAAGCATGAATCTGACTGCTTTGGTTGTTTTGGGGGAGAAAGAACGGCGGCGCCGCGTCGTGGCTGATTGGTTGCCTCGGTTGGGGGCTGAGTAAAGGTGCTTGCTTGGTCGAAGCTAGCAGCCAGCCACTCTTGTTTTATGACCAAACGTGACCAGATTGGTTGGGAGGTTGGTTGAGACCTATCGCAGTCCAGCTAGCCGCAGTTTTGATATTGAACCACGTATAGTAAGTACAGTGCCTGCAAGTCCAACATAACTAATCCATCTGTAATGCAACCTGGGCATCACCTGCTTAGTTGTGTGCCTGGCATTTCCTGAGTGATTTCGAGGCTAAACCCTGGGGAATTGATCTTTGGTAGCTGGTTTACCAAGCATGTTATTCGAAATCTTCGAGTCAAAGTCTTCTGCTTCTCAAAACCCATGTACCAGCGCCTTTCCTCCCCAGTTGCAAATACAACAGTACCAGTATTGACCAGCCAATGTATCACAGACATAGGCGCTGTTGCTTCCTTACATCCGATGTCAATACAAACCTGACATGGCAGAAATGGCATGAGTGGTGCCCACCAGCAACAGCTGGGCTTCTATGTTGGGAAGCTGCTTGTAGCAGTCATGCTGGCTTGCAGCTAAGGACTTGTGCTTGGTACTGTTTGCTCCATTTGCTTCAAATCAAAGGACTTCGATCAGTGCTGCAATTTCCCTTGCATGCCTGCTGTGTTGATGCTGCTCGTGTTGTCGATGTTTGCGCTGCCATTGCTGTTAATGCTGTTGTGTCTCTTGCTTCTGCTACTGCTGACGCTGCAATATTTGCAAGTGATGTATCTATGCTTGCTGATTGATGACACTGCTGTCGTTCCAATGCTGATGCTGCTTCATCTGTTGCTGTTGCTTCTCTTGTTGCTGGTGCTGGTGCTGGTGCTGCTACTAAAGCTTCTTGTTGCCACTGCTGCTGCTGTTGCTTTTGCGGCTGCTGCTACTTCTGTTTCGATGCTACTGCTGTTGCCGCCGCCGCTGCTTCTGTTGTTGTAATGATACTACTGCTGCTGTTGACATAGCTTCTGCTATCGCTGTCGCCATTGCTGCCACTGCTGTTGCCGTTACTGCTGGTGCTGCTGCTGCCGTTACAGCTGCTGCTGTTGTTGCCTCTGCAACTGCTGCTGCCGTTGTTACACCAGCAGGACCGGCAACTCAATCTGCACACCAAACAGCAGCCCGCAGTCCCCAGACCTCTCAGCCAGACCGAATAGCTTCGGTCACACCACCAAGATCTCCAAACCAGCTCACAGTGTCACTCTCACACCAGCAGACAGCAGCAGCGTCAGTCACACCAGCAGACACCTACAGCAGCAGTCACGTCCCACACCAGCAGGCACCAATAGCTTTTGAGCCGACTCAACAGTCGACAGCTCACCGCTGCTCCCCGAGCCTTTTCTCACCTTCGAACCAGTGTGATCCGAAGCTCAGGCTCGGCAAGCACTTGACCTCCGGACCAAACAGGTCCGGCGCCAGCAGCAGCACATCCACCAATCAACAGCTCTTCCCTTCTCAACACATCTCCATCTCAATATCCCAGCCACGCACGCACCTCACTTCCTCCCCCCTCCGTTTCCCCACCTCCCAAACACCTCTCCCCACCGAACCTCCGGCTGGTTCGGGAACAGCTTCTGAATCCTCGGGTCGGGCCGAGCCAGCCAGGAGCAGTAAACCCCAGCCGCAGCAAAAACAGCCGCCATGGACATGGCAGCGAGAGCCGCAAAGTGCTTAGGATCGTGAACGACTATGGCGATTCCTAGCATTAGTAGCTCCGCCAGGCTGGCGAGGGCGATTTCGGTGGTTCCGATGAGATTGGCCGAGGCGGGGGGGATGGCTGTTTGGATGATCTGAGAGTCGACGATTTCAAACGTCCAATGGCCCACTCGGGAAAGCACCTGGAGGATAAGAGGGTAATGAGAGGTTGCGAGAGGTTATGGGAGGTTATGAGAGGGTCATGAGAGGTGATGAGAGATGATGACAGGTGATGATCTCAAATGTCCAGTGGCCCACTCGAAAGAGCACCTGGAGGGAACATGGGTCGGGAATGGAGCAGGTGTGAGAGGTGATGAGACGTGACGAGGGGTGATGAGGGGAAATGAGGGGCGAGAGCAAGCATACAAGATGCTGAGAGCCCCCTGCTGTAGCACTGAAGGGCAGCATGCATGTGTGAGAGTGAATCTGTTGAAAATAAAAAAGGAATAATAATAATAATAGTAACAATAATCATAAAGATTGAGCACCCTGCTGCAGCACTGAAGGTCAGCGCGAGGGAGTGTATGTGCGAGAGTGAAGGATTGAGCAGAGAGAGAGTGGACCCACAGCTAGCAGGAGGAAGAGCAGCAGCATCCCATGCTGCAGCACCGGAGGGCAGCATGAGAGACGTCATACTCGTGAAACAAAGTGTGTTGGGTGAGAGAGGGTGTGTGTGTGAGAGAGAATGTGTTTGAGCGAGTGAGATAGGGCGTGTGTGAGAGAGAGACTCACGACGAGCAAGAGGAAGAGTAGCATCAGCCCCTGCTGCAGCACCGGAGGGCAGTGTGAGAGAGAGGAGAAGATTCCCACTGCGAGGGCAAGGAGGAGAGCTTGGAAGACAAGAGCAGCACTGCCAGCCTGGGGTGGAGAGGGGGTTCGGGGGGAGGGGAAGTAAGAGAAAAGTGCGTGTGTGAATGTGAGCGGGTTACGGGGGCCAGGAGAGGAGAAGGGCTTGGAAGACAAGCGCAGCACTGCCAGGGAGTTTTTGAGAATTCTCAAGAACTCCCTGCAACGTCCAGGAGAGGAGAAGGGCTTGGAAGACAAGTGCAGCACTGCCAGCCTGATGGGATGAAAGGGGAACGGGGGAGTAAAAAGCAGGAGAGTGCATGTGCACGTGTGCGAGAGAGATGAGACGATGGCAACTGTGCGGGACATCTTGGAATGACGAGTGGGCAAGGGAGAGGTGGATAAGGAGGGAGTGATGGGACTGGGGGGGTGTGGGAGCGTGTGTGAGAGAGGGGAGAAGGGCAAAGATGCGAGGGTGGGGAGGGAGGGATGCATGGAAGAAGAGAGCAGCACTGCCAGCATGAACAGTCCATTCGCCTCCCACTGCACACCATTGTACCACACAGCACCCCGCCACAACCCATGGCCCCGCACTGCACCACACTGCACCACTCTGCACTGCACAGCACCCCACTGCACTACAATACCTGTAGCGCACCCAGACGTGCCACGAGCAGTGGCGAAACTAAGGTGGCCTCAAAGCCCATGGCAGCACAGTCATTCCCTTCTCACTGCACCGCTACAGCACAGCCCTGCACCCTTCTAGAACCGCACTGCATCGCACCGCACCTGTAGCACACCCAGACGTGCCACGAGCGGTGGCGAAACAAAGGTGGCGGCAAATCCCGTGGCAGCACAGGCGCCCCTGAAGGCCCCTATCACTGACATCTGCACGCCTGGTAGTTGGGGAAAGGGGGAAAGGAAGGGGGAAAGGAAGAGGGGGATTAATATGTGAGTGGAAAAGGAAGGGAGGGTATAAGGCGCCCTTCAACGCCCCTAAAATCTGCACGCGTGGTAGTGTGCGTGTGGGAAGACAGGGAGAGGGGAGAGAGGAGGCGGCAGAGGGGAGAAAGAGATAATGAGACGTCGCGGCAGAGGCACCCCTGAACGCCCCTATCACTGACACGGGGAAGGGGAAACGGGGAAGGGAAGGAACGGAAGGAAGGGAGGATGTGAGCACTCCCCCGGGCGAAAGCACTGCATTGAGGAAGAGCAGCACGTAGGCTGCACTGGCGGGCATGACAGACAGCCTGGTGCACGTAGGCATGGGTAGGCATGATGACTCCCTTGAACACTCACCGTGTTGCGAGAGGAAGGATGTGAGGAGCCCTCCAGGCGAGAGAACAGCATTGAAAAAGAGCAGCACGTAGGCTACACTGGCGGGCAGCACAGCCTGCTGCAGGCATGTAGGCATGGGAAGGGATGACTAGGCAGGAGGATACTCACCATGCTGTGACAGAAAAGAGGTGAGGATCCGTCCAGGCGAGAGAACAGCATTGAGGAAGAGCAACTCATAGGCCGCACTGGCGGGCATGACAAGGCGTAACTAGCAGACGAGGCAGGCAGATTTTTACCGTGTTGGGAGAGGAAAGATGTCAGAAGCCCCCCTGGTGACAGCACTGCATTGAAGAAGAGCAGCACGTAGGCGGCACTGGCGGGCATCACAGCCTGCTGCACGTAGGCATGACTCGAGATGAGATGACTGGGCATGACAGACAGATTCTTACCATGTTGCGACAGGATTGACGTGAGAAGCTGTCAAGAGAGGACAGGTGGGCTGCAAAGGCCTTACTTCCATCAATCTCGTGTTGTACTAGACCAACGAAACAAACTCCATGAAGTGATGGTGGAAGGAGCCTGGGTGTGCGCTAGCTTAGAGTGTTATCGAGAGAGCCAGTTTGAGACAAATCTTCATTAAAGACTGGGCATGACTCGAGATGAGATGACTGGGCATGACTCGAGATGAGATGACTGGGCATGACTCGAGATGAGATGACTGGGCATGACTCGAGATGAGATGACTGGGCATGACTCGAAATGAGATGACTGGGCATGACTCGAGATGAGATGACTGGGCATGACTCGAGATGAGATGACTGGGCATGACTCGAGATGAGATGACTGGGCATGACTCGAGATGAGATGACTGGGCATGACTCGAGATGAGATGACTGGGCATGACTCGAGATGAGATGACTGGTCCTGGTCCTTCCTGCGTCCCCTGTGTCGAGGGGCGGCTCCGGGCTGCCCCTCACTCCTCTCAGTTTCCCCCGACAGAGGCCCCGCTGCAGACGCTTCACATGGACGTGTGGGGCCCGGCCCGCGTCCGTGGACAGGGTCACGAGCGCTACTTCCTGCTGGTGGTTGACGACTACTCGCGTTACACCACAGTCTTCCCCTTGTGCAGCAAGGACGATGTCACTGAGGTGTTGATCGACTGGATCCGCGCAGCTCGTCTCCAGCTCAGGAGGAGCTTCGGCTCGGACTTTCCTATTCTGCGTCTGCACTCTGACCGAGCGGAGAGTTCTCTGGCATTCGTGCGTGAGGCATCCGCCAGACCTTTACGCTTCCGGAATCTCCACAGCAAAATGGGATTGCTGAGCGCCGCATTGGCATGGTCAAGGACGACGCTCGTATGTCCATGTTGCATGCGGCTGCCCCCCATTTTCTATGGCCGTTTGCGGTTCGGTACGCCGCGCATCAGATCAACCTTCACCCCAGGGTCTCCATGCCGGAGACCTCCCCAGCTTTGCTGTGGACGGGGAAGGTAGGCGATGCGTTTCCGTTCCGTGTCTGGGGATCTCGGGCGTTTGTCCGCAACTTGTCTGCGGACAAGCTGTCCCCTCGTGCTGCTCCCTGTGTCTTCCTTGGCTCCCCCCCTGACGCACCACGGTGGCAGTTCTACCACCCCTCCTCTCGTCGTGTTCTGTCCTCTTAGGACGTCACGTTCGACGAGTCAGTCCCCTTCTACCGCCTCTTCCCCTACCGCACTCCTTCCCTCCCCCCTCCTCCGCTCTTCCTTGTGCCAGGTCCCCCCCCGGTAGACCCCCTCCCCCCTCAGGGTCATGCCCCTTCAGGTGTGTCCCAGGTAGACGCAGTCGAGCCGGTCGAGGTTGCTGGTGACTCTGGTACTGCTGCGGGTGCTGAGCCTGGGGGTGCTAAGACTGGGGGTGCTGAGCCTGGCGGTGCTGAGCCTGGGGGTGCTACGTCAGGAGCCGCTGAGCCTGGGGGTGCCACGTCTGGAGCTGCTGAGCCTGGGGGTGCGGAGCCAGCGGTCGCTGGACCTGCTAATGTGGCGTTTGGCGGTGCAGGGCCTGGAGGTTCTCCGGGTGCTTCGTCTCGGCGAGAGCCACTCTCTCCACAGGAGCTGCGCGAGTGGTTTGCCCGGCGCTGGAGGCGTACTGCTGGAGCTGGTGCTTTTTTGGCTGCTGAGGGTGCTGGTGCCGCCGGTCTCGGAGGTGCTCGTCCTGGGAGTGCTGGAGCTGCTGGGCCTGGGAGTGTCGGAGCTGCTGAGGGTGTTGGCGCTGAGGCTACTGCTGTCAGTCCTGGCGGCGGTCCTGCTGCGGGTGCTGCTGGTGCTGTTGGAGGTACTGGAGCTGGAGGTGCTGTTGGCGTTGGTGCTGCCGCTGGGGGTGCTGGTCCTGTCCCTGGTGTGTCTCGAGTCGCCGCGTGGCTTCGGCCGTAGTTTTTTCCGCTCCTTCATCAAGTTCTTGGTCATCCTCCTCCCTTAGAGTGTCCACCGCCTGTCCAGTTACAGTCACAGTTACCGCCTGCCTCCCCACTGCCTGCTCCTTCTCCGTACGCTGGTCCTACTGGAGGTGTTGCTAAGCGTCGTGAGCCTGCGTCTCGTCCTGCGTCGCCTGTTCGTGCTGGTCGCACTAGTGGACGCGGTTCCCGTCAGCGTCCTCCTCCTGTCCCTGGCACGCACCGGATGTCTCTGCGTCCGTCCACTGCTACTCTGCATGTCCCTTTGCCTTCTCCTCCTGCGTCCTCTCTTCCTGCTCTTGCCGACCCGGAGTCGGACTCTCTTCGTGCTGCCAGTCCTACTATCACGCGTCTCCTTGCTACTGTCGTCACTGACCCTTCCTTTGAGTCCACTGCTGCGTCTGCTCTTGTTGCTGAGCTCGTCAACTTTGCTGCTCGCTCTCGTCTAGACTACGCTGCTAGTCTTGTTGCTGAGTCTTCGTCTGTCTGTCCTCCTTCCGTCGGGGGTGAGTGTGCTCTTGGCACGGACGTCCTTGAGGACAGGCAGGAGGAGTTCCAGTGTCTGGCTGCTGCTTCACCTCATCTCGTGTCCGTACTGCTTACCCCTGAGGGAGACCCGGATGCACTTGACATCCCGACTCCGCGCTCTTACGCGGAGGCCGTAGAGGGTCCCTACTCCTCTCAGTGGCAGGCAGCTATGGATGCAGAGATGGCTTCCTAGAAGTCCACAGGCACCTACGTTGACGCGATTCCCCCATCTGGGGCGAACATCGTCAGTGGCATGTGGATCTTCAGGGTGAAGCGGCCGCCAGGTTCTCCACCTGTCTTCAAGGCGCGGTACGTGGCTCGTGGCTTCAGTCAGCGGCAGGGAGTTGACTAGTTTCAGACCTTCTCTCCCACCGCGAAGATGACCACTCTTCGGGTGCTGCTGCACATAGCCGCTCAGCGCGACTACGAGCTTCACTCGCTTGACTTCAGCATTGCTTTCTTGCAGGGTAGCCTGTACGAGGAGATCTGGCTGCGCCGTCCACCTGGCTTCACTGGGACTTTTCCTCCTGGCACCCAGTGGAGCTTCCGACGGCCAGTCTACGGTCTCCACCAGGCGCCCCGTGAGTGGCACAACACACTGAGGACTACACTTGCGGCTCTTGGGTTTGCTCCCTCTACTGCCGACCCGTCGCTGTTTCTACGCACCGACACCTCTTTGCCGCCGTTCTACATCCTCGTGTACGTCGACGACTTGGTCTTTGCCACTGCTGACACTGCTGGACTCGCCCACGTGAAGTTCGAGCTGCAGAAGAGACACACGTGCACAGACCTGGGTGAACTGCGCAGCTACCTTGGCTTGCAGATCACCCGGGACAGAGCACGCCGCACCATTACCTTGACTCAGTCACACATGGTGCAGCAGGTCCTTCAGCGCTTCGGCTTCACGTACTCCTCGCCTCAGGCCACTCCTCTGTCTACTCGCCACTCGCTCTCAGCTCTGCCTTCGGATGAGTCCGTAGAGTCGAGTGGCCCGTACCCAGAGCTTGTTGGCTGCCTCATGTACCTGATGACCTGCACACGACCTGACCTTGCATACCCTCTTAGCATTCTTGCACGCTATGTTGCTCTTGGGAGACACAGACCAGAGCACATGGCTGCAGCGAAGAGGGTGTTGCGCTACTTGTGCAGTACGTCAGGCATGGGGCTAGTGCTTGGAGGGCAGAGTCCGGTGGTCCTCACTGGGCACGCAGACACTTCTTGGGCTGACGACCAGGCTACGCAGCGGTCGTCACAGGGTTACACCTTCAGCCTTGGTTCTGGCTCTGTTTCGTGGCGGGCTACTCGCTCGTCTTCTGTTCTCGGCTCCAGTTGTGAGGCTGAGATCTACGCCGGAGCCATGGCTGCTTAGGAGCTACGCTGGCTCACCTACTTGCTGACTGACCTCGAAGAGCCGCCTCGTTCTCCTCCAGTGCTGTACGTAGACAAGAAGGCCATGCTGGCCTTGTGTCGGGAGCAGCGCCTGGAGCACAGAACGAAGCACATTTCTCTCCGCTACTTTCTTGCTAGTGAGCTGCAGCAGTGTGGTGAGTTGCGACTTGCGTATGTGGCCTCTGAGGCCAACACTGTTGATATCTTCACTAAGGCTCTTGCGCCTTGTGATCATCAGCGCTTCTGTACTCAGCTTGGTCTTGTGCGTGTCTTGCCTCACTTGCTCACTTCTTGACCTTGCTTGTACTGTCACATACTCCTGCTCTTGCTTGTTTAGCCTTTTATATATATATGTGTGCTCCTGCATGTGAACTGGCCGTCTGGCCTTGAACTTGTGCTCGGAATGTGTGGTGACTTTGTGATCCACCCTGAGCTTTGCTTTGCTTTGCTTGACTGGTCTTGTGACCCCTTGTTCTCCCCCACTTTTCCTATGGGGGTGTGTCAGATTTGTATGACATAGCTGTTGTAGGCTATAGTGGGGTAGTACATATGGGGTACAGCTTTCTAGGGTTGTATTTGTACCCAACTTTCACTTAGTCATTTTCATTCTTGTTCTAACTTTCTCACGCTGAGCTTGCTCGACACCCCTGCCATGGCCGAATTCACGCTCGCCACATTGACGCAAGAGCAGCTTTACCGTCTGGTGCGCCAACTTGAAGATTCGGCGCTCGAAATTGCGACGCTCACGGCGGAACGTGACCTCGCGCGTCAGCAATCCACGGTGAACATTCTAGCGCCACCACACGTACCGACAAATGCATCTGCACAATCGGACGAGCCGATCGTCATTTTGTCCGGCACACCAACACAACACGTCAGCGTGGGACAGCGCTTAGGAGCAGCCAGTGATGGCGCCGCCCAGCCGATGCCTGGCATGGGAGGAAACAGGGTCGGACCAAGTTCGCGTAAGCCTCGTGAAGCCCGTCGGCACATGGAGTTCGTGGCGACAAATGGCGACCAGGCCATTATGGCACCTATGCCACTCAAGCCGCAACGCCCGCCCTGCTTCGACCCAAGCCAACGTAGAGGTCCGACGGTTCAATCGTGGGTCTTCACGATGAATGTCTTCTTCGATGCGAATTACGTCGAGTCGGACGCAGCGAAGATTCGGTATGCCGTTTCGCTGTTGAGGGGCCCCGCCATGGACTGGTGGCGAGTCATCGTGACGTAGCCACGCGCCTACAAGCCACCGTCGCAAGAGGAAGGGCCCAGGTGTCACCTCGAGTTCATTTTGCGATACCGCCCAATAAAGCACGTGGGATGCGTAGTGCGCAGGGCTTCGGGCGTGCTTTGAGCCGATCACGGCTTCGATTTTAGCGCGTCAGAGATTGCGCACTCGGCGGCAGCTTGGATCGGTTCAAGACTATACGAGTGGTTTTGTCGCATTATGCGGCAAGTTGGCTACATGCACGAAGCAGAGCGGGTGGACCGTTATGTCGGGGGGCTGAAGCCGGATATATCGCATGAAATCATGCTACGCGGGCTCTCGAACTTCAACGAGATTCTCGCGCTCGCCGAGAAAATCGACATTTTACGCCGTCCGAGACCGGGGTCCTACTATGGACATCCTCCTAGGGGACCGATTGAGCACGCCAGTGTACACGCTGTTGCGACGAATGCAGCTGTCGCGCCGTTTAAGGGGCGCTGCGTTGCTTGCAACAGGTCGGGCCACCACAAGAGCGAATGCCCACAGGAGCTAAGGCGCCGCGGAGCAAAGCAGGGGAGGGAATCTCCAAAGCTGTGAAACGCCAGCAGTCACTAGGAATCGGGCCAACTACTGACGAGACTGCCTGCATATCTAACCGCACCGACCCTCACCGAGTCACAGTACTGATTTGTGCTATCGATCGGACTCGGACAAATAAGAAGGGTACAGCGACAAATTGCCCAGTACGGATCCACGGGAAAATACAGGTAGCAGTAGTGAAGATTTTTATCGACGGAGGAGCAAGCCATAGTTTAGTTAATACCGCAACTGCACGAAAACTACAGCTCACACTTAGCCGTCGCTTACCGGAGATAAACGCATGCTTAGTCGACGGCACGCCACTGGCCATACGGGAAAAGGTAGAGAGAGTCAAAATCCGTTGCGGGGGAAATTGTCAGCCACCGTCGGCCACGCTTAGGCCCCGTCGGCCCCGCTATAGCCCCGCTTAGGCCCCACTACGGCCTTGATTGGCCCGGCTTAGGCCCCGTCGGCCCCGTTGCGGCCCCTGCTTAGGCCCCGTCAGCCCCACTTCGGCCCCGTTGCGGCCCCGCTACAGCCCCGCAACGGCCCCGTCGGCCCCGCTTAGCCCACCGTCGGCCCCGCTTAGGCCCTGTCGGCCCCGCTATGGCTCCGCTTAGGCCCCGTTGGCCCCGTTGCGGCCCCGCTACAGCCCCGCTACGGCCCCGTCGGCCCCGCTTAGCCCACCTTCGCCCCCGCTTAGGCCCCGTCGGCCCCCACTTCGGCCCCGTTGCGGCCTCGCTACGGCCCCGTCGGCCCCGTTGCGGCCCCACTTAGGCCCCGCCGGCCCCGTTACGGCCCCGCTACAGCCCCGCTACGGCCCTGTCGACCACGCTACGGCCCCATCTACGGCCCCGTCGGCCCCACTACGGCCCCACTACGGCTCCGTCGGCCCTGTTGGCCCCGTTACGGCCCCACCTCGGCCCCGTCTGCCCCTCTTAGGCCCCGCTGCGGCCCCGCTACAGCCCCGCTACGGCCCCGTCGGCCCCACTACAGCCCCGCTAAGGCCCAGTCGGCCCCACTTCAGCCCCACTGCGGCCCCACTAAGGCCCTGCTTAGGCCCCGTCGGCCCCACTTCGGCCCCACTGAGGCCCCGCTAAGGCCCCGCTAAGGCCCCGTCGGCCCCACTTCGGCCCCCCCCTGCGGCCCAAGTAAGGCCCCTGCTACGGCCCCGTCCCAACCGCGCGAGTCGCCCAGCAACCGAGCCGCCAGGTAGCCGAGCCGCCCAGCAGCCGAGCTGCCCGACAGCCGAGCCACCCGACAGCCGAGCCGCCCAACATCGTGCAGCCGAGCCGCCCAGCAGCCGAGCCGCCCAGCAACCGGGCCGCCCGTGCAGCCGAGCCGCCCGGCTGCCGAGCCGCCCTGCAGCCAAGCCGCCGAGCAGCCCGATCGCCCCACCTCCCTAGTAAGAGCTCAGTCTCTTCCTCACTGCGCTCACTGCCTCCCTACTGCTGTTATGGCTTCCCCTAGCGTCCTCACTTTTGACGCTGAGGGTCGGGCGGTGGATTTTGAGGTTTGGGTAGATGATCTACAGCTTTTTCTTCACTGCGATAGGGCAGACGGCCTCTCCCTGTTTGACCTCACTTCTGGTGCCTCCCCTGCCCCTGCTGCTGATGCTAACGCCACTGTTCGCTCCCAGTGGGCCACACGTGATGCTGCTGCTCGCCTTGCTGTTCGCCGCCACTTACCGACCACAGAGCGTGCGCACTTTAGCCAGTATAAGAGTGCCCAGACCTTGTACGACGCTGTAGTTGCACGCTACTCTTCCCCTGCCACTGCTGCACTGAGCCGCCTCATGCTTCCCTTCCTCTTCCCTGACCTTGCTGCCTTTCCCACAATCGCTGACCTCATTACGCACCTCCGCACTCTTGACACTCGCTACCACGCTGCGCTTCCTGCTGAGTTCTGCGCCAAGAACCCCCCCCCCCATGTACATCACCCTCTACTATATAGTCACCCGGCTCCCTCTTCGCGCAGTCAGGGACCACTTCCTCTCTGTTTGCCCCACCACTCTCACCGTTGACCTCCTCGAGAAGGCCCTCCTAGCGATAGAGAAGAGCATAGTCGCTGTAGGAGCCTCTCGTGGTGACCCTCGCACCCCCATCTTTGAGGGGTGTTCTCCCTCCCCCCTCTTGCCCTCTGTCGCCTCTGCTGCTGCGGCCGACCTTGTTGGTTTTGAGTCGGTCGGCGCTGCGTCTGTCCCGAGTGGAAGACGCCGCACTCGCAAGGGCAAGGGGGGCAAGGGCTCTAGAGGGGGTGGAGGGGGCGGTGGAGGTGGTGGTGGAGGCGTTGGAGGGAGTGGGGGTGGTGGTGGGAGTGGTGTCGGGGGTGGTGGTGGCGGCGGCAGCAGTGGAGGCGGCGGAGGCGGTGGAGGTGGCGGAGGGAGCGGAGGCGGCGGAGGTGGTGGAGGAGGCGGAGGTGGAGGAGGCGGCGGAGGCGGCGGAGGCGGCGGTGGCGGCGGCGGTGGCGGCGGTGGTGGTGCGAGTCGCGACTCTGCACCGAGGAGTGGCTCCGGTGGTGGTCCGCCAGCAGCAGCAGCGGAGTGGTGTGACCATGTCCCCTCAGCAGCTTCGTGAGTGGTACACTGCACGCCAGCGAGGTGGGTTGGTCCCTACTCCTACGTTCTCCGTACCGGCGACTGCACTGGTGAGCAGTTCGGAGGTCCGCAGTCCACCCAGCGCTGCTTTGGTTGCTTGACGGACGCGTGGCGTCACCAGTTCCCTGACGCGTCAGAGATCCCTCGCTGGGGAGGTCTGGCCAAGGCTAGGGTTGCTATCTTTGATCTTGACTTTGATGCTATTCTTGATGCCATGTATGCTGTTGCTAATAGTGTTGAGGGTGCCTATTACCTGTATGTACCGCATGACCCGGGCATTGAGGCTGCTGCGCTAGGTGCTGGTGAGACTGCTGCTCTTGGTGCTAGTGCGTCTGCAGCCCCAGGTGCTGGTGAGTCTGCTCTCTCAGGTACTGCTTCGGCTCAGGCCCTCCACACCTTCACCATAGACTCGGGTGCATCCCGCTCCTTCATTCGAGACCGCACCACTCTTACGCCACTTAGTCGGCCGGTTGCAGTCTCCCTGGCAGACCCCTCTGGGGGTCCTGTCCTTGCTAGCTTCTCCACTGTCCTTCCGTGCCCTACAGCCCCCTCTGGCACCCTGTCTGGTCTGTATCTTACCTTGTTCTCTACGAACTTGGTGAGTGGAGCGGACCTACAGGATCGAGGGGTTGACCAGTTCACTCCTGCGAGTCAGCGAGTGACCCACTGCACGTGTGCTCGGACAGGTCGACACCTGGCCACGTTCAGCCGTCAGCCAGGGTCGAGTGTGTACACCCTTACTACTGCGTCTCCTCCTCCTGCTGCGTCTGCCCAAGTAGCTACGTCAAGTCAGGTGTTTGCTGCGGCGTCCAGGTCTGGTCCTGGGTCTGCCCCCTGCTCGTGTCGTCAGCTGTCCCACCAGACTCTCCTTTGGCACCACCGTCTTGGTCACCCTTCCTTGCCTCGTCTCAGAGGCATGGCCTCCCGTGTCCTTGTCTCTGGTCTTCCTCGGTCTCTCCCTCCCCTTCCTCCGGGGCCCGACCTTACCTGCGTCCCCTGCGTTGAGGGGCGACAGCGCGCCGCCCCTCACTCCTCCGACAGAGGCTCCGCTGCAGACTCTCCACATGGACGTGTGGGGCCCAGCCCGCGTCAGTGGGCAGGGACGAGAGCGGTACTTTCTGCTGGTGGTTATCGACTACTCGCGTTACACCATAGTCTTCCCCTTGCGCAGCAAGGGTGACGTCACTGAGGTGTTGATCGACTGGATCCGCGCAGCTCGTCTAGCTCCGAGAGAGTTCCGGCTCCGACTTTCCTGTTCTGCGTCTGCACTCGGACAGAGGCGGGGAGTTTTCCTCTGCCCGTTTGGGAGCCTTCTGACGTGCGCAGGGCATCCGCCAGACCTTCACGCTTCCGGCCTCTCCACAGCAAAATGGGATTGCTGAGCACCGCATTGGCATGGTCATGGACGTCGCTCGTACGTCCATGATGCATGCGGCTGCCCCCCATTTTCTGCCCCCCATTTGCGGTTCAGTACGCCGCGCATCAGCTCAACCTGCAGCCCCGTATCTCCATACCAGAGACCTCCCACGCCTTGCGGTGGACCGGGAAGGTTGGCGATGCGTCTACGTTTCGGGTCTGGGGATCTCGGGCGTTTGTCCGCGACTCGTCTGCAGACAAGCTGTCCCCCCGTGCTATTCCCTGCGTCTTCCTTGGCTTCCCCCCCGACGCGCATGGCTAGAGGTTCTACCACCCCACCTCGCGACGTGTTCTGTCCTCCCAGGACGTCACCTTTGAGGAGTCGGTGCCTTACTACCGTCTCTTCCCCTACCGCACTGCACCCCTCCCCCCGCCGCCGCTCTTCCTTGCGCCAGGTGCTACTCAGGTAGACCTCCTCCCTCCTCAGGGTCCTGCCCCTTCAGGTGTGTCCCAGGTAGACGCAGTCGAGCCTGTCGAGGTAGCTTTCGACTCTGGTGTTGCTAGAGGTGCTGAGCCAGCGGGTGCCGGGTCTGCGGGTGCTGGGTCTCGGGGTGCTGAGCCTAGGGGTGCTGAGACTGGGGGTGCTGAGACTGGGGGTGCTGAGCCTGGGGGTGCTGCGTCTGGGGGTGCTGGGACTGGGGGTGCTGAGCCTGGGGGTGCTGAGCCTGGGGGTGCTGGGTCTGCTTGTGTGGCCGCCGGTGGTGCTTCGTCGAGGTGGGAGCCGCTCTCTCCACAGGAGCTGCGCGAGTGGTTCATCCGCCGCTGGAGACGTGCTGCTGAGTCTGGGGGTGCCGCTGGAGCTACTAGACTTGGTCCTACTGGAGCTGCTGTTGGTGCAGGTGCTGCTGGAGGTGGAGCTGCTGGGGGTGTTGGCGCTGGGGTTTCTACTGGTGCTGGTGCATCAGGGGGTGCTGCTGAGGCAGCTGGTGCTGAGGTTTCTACTGGAGTTGGAGCTGCTGAGGGTGTTGGCGCTGGCGGTGCTGCTGGCGCTGGTGCTTCTGAGGGTCCTGGAGTTGGCGCTGTTGGAGCTGGAGGTTCTGCTAGCGCTGGTGCTGCCACTTGGGGTCCTGGTGCCGTCCTTGCTGGTTCTGGAGGCGCTGCGCGGCCGAGGCCGTACTTCGTTCCCCTCCTGGAGCAGGTTCTTGGTCTCCCTCCCTCTACTGGTCCTGCTCCTCCCCTAGAGTGTCCGCAGCCTGTCCAGTCGCAGTCCCAGTTACAGCCCGCCTCCCCGCTACCTGCTCCTTCTCCCTACACTGGTCCTACTGGAGGTCTTGCTGAGCGTCGTGAGCCTGCGTCTCGTCTTGCTTCGCCTGTTTGTGCTGCTCGTACTAGTGGTCGTACTGCGCGTCCGCGTCCTCCTGCACTCCGCGGCACACACCAAATGGCACTGCGTCCGTCCACTGCTCCTCTGCGTGTCCCTTTGCCGTCTCCTCCAGAGTCCTCTCTTCCTTCGCTTGCTGACCCGGAGTCCGACTCCCTTCGTGCTGCTAGTCCTTCGGTCACGCGCCTTCTTGCTACTGTTGTCACTGACCCTACCTTTGAGTCCATTGCTATGTCTGCTCTAGTTGCTGAGCTTGTCGTTTTCGCTGCTCGCTGTCGTCTAGACTACGCTGCTAGTCTTGTTGCTGCGTCTGCGTCTGTCTGTCCTCCGTCCGTTGGGGGTGAGTGTGCTCTTAGCACGGACGTCCTTGAGGACAGGCAGGAGGAGTTATAGTGCTTTGCGGCTGCTTTGCCCCTTCTCGTGTCCTCGCTGATTGCCCCTGAGGGAGACCCGGATGCACCAGACATCCCGACTCCTCGATCGTACGCTGAGGCGATCGAGGGTCCCTACTCCTCTCAATAGCAGTTGGCCATGGACGCAGAGATGGCTTCCTAGAAGTCCACAGGCACCTACGTCGACGAGGTTCCCCCACCTGGGGCGAACATCGTCCGTGGGATGTAGATCTTCGGGGTGAAGTGGCCGCCAGGCTCTCCGCCTTTCTTCAAGGCACGGTACGTCGCTCGAGGTATCAGTCAGCGGCAGGGAGTTGACTAGTTTCAGACCTTCTCTCCCACCCCGAAGATGACCACTCTTCGGGTGCTGCTGCACATAGCCGCTCAGCGCGACTACGAGCTTCACTCTCTTGACTTCAACACAGATTTCCTGCAGGGCAGCCTGCACGAGGAGATCTGGCTGCGCCGCCCTCCTGGCTTCACTGGGTCGTTTCCTCCTGGTACCCAGTTGAGCCTCTGGCGGCCAGTCTACGGTCTCCGTCAGGCGCCCCGTGAGTGGCACGACACACTGAGGACTACACTTGTGGCTCTTGGGTTTGCTTCTTCTACAGCCGACCCGTCGTTGTTTCTACGCACCGACACCTCCCTGCCGCCGTTCTACATCCTCGTGTACGTCGACGACTTGGTCTTTGCCACTGCTGACACTACTGGACTCGCTCACGTGAAGTCCGAGCTGCAGAAGAGACACACGTGCACAGACCTGGGTGAACTGCGCAGCTACCTTGGCTTGCAGATCACCCGGGACAAAGCACAGCGCACCATTACCCTGACTCAGTCACACATGGTGCAGCAGGTCCTTCAGCGCTTCGGCTTCACGTACTTTTCGCCTCAGGCCACTCCTCTGTCTACTCGCCACTCGCTCTCAGCTCTGCCTTCGGATGAGTTCGTAGAGTCGAGTGGCCCGTACCCAGAGCTTGTTGGCTGCCTCATGTACCTGATGACCTGCACACAACCTGGCCTTGCATACCCTCTTAGCATCTTGGCACGCTATGTTGCTCCTGGGAGACACCGACCAGAGCACATGGCTGCAGGGAAGAGGGTGTCACGCTACATGTGCAGTACATCGGGCATGGGGCTAGTGCTTGGAGGGCGACGTCGAGTAGTCCTCACAGGTCACGCTGACGCTTCTTGGGCTGACGACCAGGCTACGCAGCGGTCGTCACAGGGTTACACCTTCAGCCTTGGCTCCGGTTCTGTTTCGTGGCGGTCTACCCGCTCGTCCTCTGTTCTCGGCTTCAGCTTTTAGGCTGAGATCTACGCAGGGGCCATGGCTGCACAAGAGCTACGCTGGCTCACCTACCTTCTTACTGACCTAGGAGAGCAGCCTCGTTCTCCTCCAGTTGTGTACGTAGACAACAAGGCCATGCTGGCCTTGTGTCGGGAGCACAGACTGGAGCACATAACGAAGTAGATTGCTCTCCGCTACTTCTTGTCTCGTGAGCTGCAGCAACGCGGTCAGCTCCGCCTAGCCTACGTGGCCTCTGAGGCCAACACTGCTGATATCTTCACCAAGGCCCTTCCGCCTTGTGATCATCAGCGTTTCTGTACTGTGCTAGGTCTTGTGCCTACCTGGCCTCACTTGCTCACTTCTTGATCTTGTTTGTAGTGTATTCTTCCTATACTTGCACTTGCTTGTTTTCGCTTTGTATATATGTTCTTGCATGTGAACTGGCCTTGTGGCCCTACTCTTGTGCTCGGACTGTGTGGTGACTTTGTGATCCACCCTGAGCTTGCTTTGCTTTGCTTGACTGGTCTTGTGACCACTTGTTCTCCCCCACTTTGCCTATGGGGGTGTGTCAGAACATGATAGCTTATACATTTGTGTAGGCTGTAGTGGGGTAGCCCATATGGGGTACAACCCAATTAGGGTTAGTACTTGTACCCGACTGTTTCATAGTTCATACATTCTCACTTCTCGTCAGAAATTTTTGGATTTACAGAGGAAATGCTCGCAACGACACTGGATTGGCACGATATTTTATTGGGACGTCATTGGCTGCGACAGTATAACCTGCAAATTGACTAGACGACGGGTAGCTGCACCGTGCGAAGTACTGGTAGCTGGGTCGAGCTACCTTGCTGGCGGTCGCCCGAGTCTTCAACGGTACACGTCAACGCCATCACAATGAAGCGGGCTGTCGCTGCTAGAGCTGACGTGTACACAGTAGACATCACAGTACTAGAGGAAGCGGAGTAGCTGAGTGATTTCAAGAAACTGCTGGCAGCTGTACCGCCCGAATTACAGGAACTGTTGAAACGATACCCCGAGACTTTTCCCGAAGACTTACCGGAAGGACTGCCACCTCAACGAGCACACGACCACCAAATCGAATTAGAACCGGGGGCATAGCCAACCGTACAGCGCCAGTTCAGACTAACACAGCTGGAGCTCGATGAACTAAGGAAGCGATTAGATTACTCGTTACAGAAAAATTCATGAGACCGAGCTCGTCACCGTTCGCCGCACCGATACTATTTACGCTGAAAAAAGAAGGGGGTTTTCGCATGTGTATCGACTACAGAGCACTGAACATGGTAACAGTGAAGTCGCGGTACCCCATTCTCCGCGCCGACGAACTGATCGACCAACTGCAAATAGCCCGGGTTTTTTTTCGAAAATCGATTTACGGGGAGGTTACCATCAGATTAGGGTCGAACCATCGGACTACGTCAAAACAGCTTTCAGGACTAGAAACGGGTCGTTCGAGTACACTGTGATGCCATTCGGGCTGACCAATGTACCGGTGACTTTTCAAATGACCATGAACGAGGCATTTAGGCCGCTCTTAGATAAGTGCGTAATAGTTTACCTCGACGACATTCTAGTGTATAGTCGGGATAAGCAGCAACACTTAGCAGATCTGGAAGCAGTGTTTAAGGTTTTAGACGAGCACAGATTAGTGACCAAGTGCTCCAAGTGCGAGTTCTTCCAGGATAGGTTAGAATTTTTGGGGCACGTTATCCCGGAGGCTGGAGTTGAAATCGACCCAAAGAAGCTGGATATGGTAAAAGCGTGGCATCCCCCAACGAACATCACTGAGCTGCAGAGCTCTTTAGGGTTCGTTAATTATGTGCGTCGGTTCGTCCTCGATATGGCACGGTTAACTGCCCCACTAACGGATTTACTACGAAAGGGGGTCGCTTTTACGTAGGGGGAGAAAGAGCATGCTGCCTTCTCTGCCCTTAAAAATGTTGTCTGTTCACCGCCCGTCCTACGCATCGCCGACCCACACCGCCCATTCGAAGTAGTTACCGACGCAAACGATATCGCCATCGGAGCCGTACAACTACAGGATTTCGGCAATGGCCTGTCAGAATCCCAACCACTAGACCATTGGGATAAAAGGGCTTGTTTCGGTAGTGGGTCATGTCAGAATATATTTGCTGTCTAGCCTGCAGTGGGGTACTCTGTAATGAGTACAACCCAATTTAGGGCATTGTACTTGTATCCCAACTCTTGCTAGTGAAACCCCTTCTCTTTCAAAAATCTCTTGATACTTTCCTAACCCTCTCGAACTCGATCACCTAGGCACCTACACTATGGCTTCTAAGCCTACCCTTGCTTAAGATTCTGATATGGTATTAGAGCTTAACGCTCCTGGCCTGTGGGCCCACTCGATTCCGCTGCCCTATTGTGTGTCGTGCGCCCCGTGGCGCGCGACCACCTATTTTTCTTCCCGCCACGCGCTCGGTGCGCGTGGCGGTTTTCTGCCCGCCGTGCGCCCCGATGCGCGCGGCGGGTACCTACCTCGTCGCGGCGTCCTGGGAGTCCGCGCGCTGGCCCCGACCGTCGCCTCGTCGCGGCGTTTTGGGGGCCCGCACGCAGGTCCCTCCCGTCGCCTCGTCGCGGCACTTTCGGGGCTCGCGAGACGGCCCCTCCTGCTGCCTCGTCGCGGCGCCTTAGGGGCCTGCGCGCGGTCCCCTCTCGCTGCCCGTCGAGGCACTTCGGGGGCCACGCCCTTCCCCTCCCCTTCGTCCTACTTTCCGCTGCAGCAGCCCCAGCAGCTGCAGCCCCTGAAACGGCCGCCCCAGCCGCAGCCCCTGGAGGAGCCACCGCAGCAGCAGCAGCCCCGGGAGCAGCAGCCCCTGGAGCAGCCGCAGCAGCGGCAGCCCTGGGAGCAGCCGCCCCAGCAGCAGCCCCTGGAGCTACCCCAGCAGCAGCAGCTCGTGAAGCGGCCACCCCAGCAGCAGCAGCTCGTGGAGCAGCCACCCCAGCAGCAGCAGCTCCGGGAGCAGCCGCCCCAGCAGCAGCCACTGGAGCAGCCGCTCCAGCAGCAGCTGCCTCTGAAGCGGCCGCCCTAGCAGCAGCAGCCCCTGGAGCAGAAGCAGCCGCCCCAGCCGCAGCCCCTGGAGGAGCCACCGCAGCAGCAGCAGCCCCGGGAGCAGCAGCCCCTGGAGCAGCAGCAGCAGCGGCAGCCCTGGGAGCAGCCGCCCCAGCAGCAGCCCCTGGAGCCGCCCCAGCAGCAGCAGCCCCGGGAGCAGCTGCCCCAGCAGCAGCAGCCCCGGGACCAGCCGCCCCAGCCGCAGCCACCGGAGCAGCCGCCCTAGCATCAGCCCTTGGAGCCGCCCCAGCAGCAGCCCTTGGAGCAGCAGCCCGAGCAGCAGCAGCCACTGGAGCAGCCGCACCAACAGCAGCCGCCCCTGGCCCCTGCATCAGTCGCTCATGGACCAGGTGCAGCCGTGGGGGGTGAGTGTGGGGGTGCTCGTTGTGGGGATGTCGGTTGTGCGTGCCGTCCCCTCCTCCTCCTCCTCCTTCGTCTCCCACTGCTACAGCTCTCTCTGAGGGGGGTGGTTGTGTGGGAGTCTTGGGTTTAGGGTCTAAGGGGGGGTGGGTGGGAGTGGAGCTAGCGGTATAGCAGCGGGTGTGTGTCGGGGGGGTGGGACTGTTTGCGGGAGGTTGAGTGGAGGCTGCCAGCTTGTTGTCCGCAGCACCTGTAGTCCGGGCGCTTAGTCCGGTAGCCCAGTGAGCGTGTCGCTGCGTCAGTCGCCTGTGGGTCCGTTGCCCGTCTGCCGCTACTTGAGCCGCGAGGCCTGTTACTCCTGTAGTCCGGGCGCTTAGTCCGGTAGCCACTGTGCTCGCCACTCCTGTTGCCCGTGTGTTTGCAGCTTCAGCCGCCGCCTTCTATCTCCTCTCCTCTCACTCTCCCTCCTCCTCCTCACTTGCCCGTTGTGACCACCACTAGCTTTGCTGATAATTGTGCACTTTAACTATTGCTTCTTGAACTTGTGCTCAGAATGCGTGGTGACATTGTGATCCACCCTGAGCTTGTACTGCTTTGCCTGCTCTGCTGATTACACCCCACTTTGGCTATGGGGGTGTGTCAGAATATATTTGCTGTCTAGCCTGCAGTGGGGTACTCTGTAATGAGTACAACCCAATTTAGGGCATTGTACTTGTATCCCAACTCTTGCTAGTGAAACCCCTTCTCTTTCAAAAATCTCTCGATACTTTCCTAACCCTCTCGAACTCGATCACCTAGGCACCTACACTATGGCTTCTAAGCCTACCCTTGCTTAAGATTCTGATAGGTCAGTGCATGCATAACCCTCTCCAAGATCAATCGGGCATCCATAGTGCAGATCTACTGACATGACCTACGACCTATCGCATACGAGTCACGAATGTCAGAACATTGTATAGCTTATACTGTTGTGTAGGCTATAGTGGGGTATCCCATAGGGGGTACAACCCAATTAGGGTTTCCTATTTGTACTTACTTCACTCATAGTTCATTTCATTCTCGTTCAGTTCTTCTCATGGTATCGAGCAGGTTCCCCTGTGGGAACTACACCTAGGGCCCACCACTCGATATCTTTTTTTCCTACCCGAAGCGCACTCATCCCGAGTCGCGCCTCGGGCCACCCTCTCACCGAGCCGCCCTAGCGGCCGGCCTTTCGATCGCGGCCCCGCCGCCCCTGCCTTCGCGGCCTTGGCGCTCCTGAACTCGCGGCCCCGCCGCTCCTGAACTCGCGGCCCCACCGCTCCTGAACTCGCGGCCCCGCCGCCCCTCCTGTCGCGGCCCCGCCACTTGCGGCCATCGCCGCCCCTGCTCTAGCGGCCCCGCCGCCCACGACTCGCGGCCCTCGCCGCCCCTACTCTCACGGCCATCGCCGCCCCTGCTCTCGCGGCCCCGCCGCCCATTGCTCGCGGCCCCGCCGCTCGCGGCCCTCGCCGCCTCTACTCTCGCGGCCCCGCCGCCCACCGCTCGCGGCCCTCGCCGCCACTCCCCGCGGCCCCGCCGCCCCTACTGTCGCGGCCCCGCCGCCCGCGGCCCTCGCCGCCTCTACTCTCGTGGCCCCGCCGCCCACTGCTTGCGGCCCCGCCGCCCCTGCTGTCGCGGCCCCGCCGCTCGCGGCCCCGCCACCCCTGCTTACGCGACACCGCCGCCCCTACACGCGGCCCCGTCGCCCCTGCTCTCGCGGCCCCGCCGCTCCTGATCTCGCGGCCCCGCCGCCCCTGCTCTCGCGGCCCTACCGCCTCTGCTCACGCAACACCGCCGCCCCTACTCACGGCCCCGTCGCCCCTGCTCTCACGGCCCCGCCGCCCGGTATCGGAGCAGCCGAACCGCCCCGCCCGAGCCGCCCTGCACCCGCGCCGCCCTGCCGCCGAGCCGCCCAGGAGCCGAGCCGCCCAGCAGCAGCCGAGCCGCCCAGCAGCAGCCGAGCCGCCCAGCAGCAGCCGAGCCGCCCAGCAGCAGCCGAGCCGCCCAGCAGCAGCCGAGCCGCCCAGCAGCAGCCGAGCCGCCCAGCAGCAGCCGAGCCGCCCAGCAGCAGCCGAGCCGCCCAGCAGCAGCCGAGCCGCCCAGGCGCCGCCGAGCCGCCCTTCTGCCGAGCCGCCCGACCTGCCCTGCCCGGTGAGCACCGTCCCGCTGTCACTGCGTGCCCTTTCCCTACTGCTTGCACTGCTTCGCTGTCGTAGTCATGGCTACCCCTAGTGTCCTAGCTTTTGACGCTGAGGGTCGAGCCATTGACTTTGAGGTCTGGGTCGACGACCTGCAGCTGTTCTTACAGTGCGATAGGGCGGACGGTCTCTCTCTCTTTGACCTCACTTCCGGCGCCTCTCCTGCCCCTGCTGCTGATGCTGACCCCACTGTTCGCTCTCAGTGGGCCACCCGCGATGCTGCTGCACGTCTTGCTGTGCGTCGCCACCTCCCTACCACTGAGCGCGCGCACTTTAGTCAGTACAAGAGTGCTCAAACCTTGTACGACGCTGTAGTTGCGCGCTACTCTTCCCCTGCCACTGCTGCACTGAGCCGTCTCATGCTACCGTACCTCTTTCCTGACCTCACTGCCTTTCCCACTGTCGCTGACCTCATTACGCACCTCCGCACTAGTGACACTCGCTACCGCGCCGCCCTTCCTGCTGAGTTCTGCGCCAAGAACCCCCCCCCCCCATGTACATCACTCTCTACTACGTAGTCGCACGCCTCCCTGACTCCCTTCGCGTAGTCAGGGACCACTTTCTCTCAGTCTGTCCCACCACCCTCACTGTCGACCTCCTCGAGAAGGCCCTCCTAGCGGCGGAGAAGAGCATCGTCGCTGTAGGAGCCTCTCGTGGTGACCCTCGCACCCCCATCTTTGAGGGGTGCTCTCCTTCCCCCCTGCTGCCCTCTGTTGCCTCTGCTGCTGCTGCCGACCTGCTTGGTCTTGAGTCGGTCGGCGCGGCGTCTGCCCCTAGCGGGAGACGCCGCTCTGGCAAGGGCAAGGGGGGCAAGGGCGCGGGTGGAGCTGGAGAGGGCGGTGGAGGTGGCGGTGGAGGCGGTGGAGGGAGTGGGGGTGGCGGTGGGAGTGGTGGCGGAGGCGGTGCTGGTGCTGGCAGCGGCGGAGGAGGCGGCGGTGGTGGCGGCAGCGGTGGGAGTGGTGGCGGCAGTGGAGGCGGACGAGGAGGAGGTGTTGGCGGAGGAGGTGGAGCTGGTCGGGGTGGTGCCCCGCAGCGGAGCGGCGCTGGTAGTGGTCAGCGCCAGCAGCAGCAGCAGCAGCAGCGTTTGCGGGACATCCCTCCGCCCCAGCAGCTCCGTGAGTGGTACACTCAGCGTCAGAGGGGTGGGGGTACTGGTCCGTGCACCTACGTCCTTCGTTCCGGCGACCGCGCGGGTGAGCAGTGTGGGGGTGCCCACCCCACCCAGCGCTGCTTTGGCCGCCTGACGGACGCTTGGCGTCAGCAGTTCCCCGAGGCTAGTGAGATTCCGCGCTGGGGAGAGCTGTCTAGGGCTGGTGTAGCTATCTTTGATCTTGACTTTGATGCTATCCTTGCTGCTATGTATGCTGTGACTATTAGTGAGGAGGGTGACTGTTACCGGTGTTTCCCGCCCGACCCGGGCATTGGTACTGCTGCGCTAGGTGCTTGTGAGACTGCTGCTCTAGGTGCCAGTGTGTCTGCACGCTCAGGTACTGGTGAGGCTGCGCTTTCAGGTACTGCGTCGGCTTCGTCCTCCCTCTCTTTCACGCTTGACTCAGGAGCTTCCCGCTCCTTCTTTCGAGACCGCACCACACTCACGCCGCTTGGTCGGTCGGTTGCAGTCTCCCTGGCTGACCCCTCTGGGGGTCCTGTCCTCTCTCACTTTTCCACTGTCCTCCCGTGTCCGGCTGCTCCCTCGGGCACCCTGTCTGGTCTGTACCTTCCCTCGTTCTCGACGAACTTGGTGAGTGGTGCGGACCTCCAGGATGCGGGGGTTCACCAGTTCACTCCTGCGAGTCAGCGGGTGACCCACTGTACGGACGCACGCACAGGCCGGGACCTGGCCACGTTCTCGCGTCGGCCGGGGTCGAGTCCTACACCCTGACAACTGAGTCTCCTCCTGTCCCTGCGTCTGGTCAGGTAGCTGCGTCAGGTCAGGTGTTTGCTGCTGCGTCCCGGTCTGGCCCTGAGTCTGCCCCCTGTTCGTGTCGCCTCCTATCTCACGAGACTCTCCTGTGGCACCACCGTCTTGGCCACCCCTCCTTGCCCCGTCTTCGGAGCATGGCTTCCCGTGTCCTTGTCTCAGGTCTTCCCCGGTCTCTCCCTCCCCTTCCTTCGGGACCAGGACCTTCCTGTGTCCCCTGTGTCGAGGGGCGCCTCAGGGCTGCCCCTCACTCCTCCCAGTTTCCCCCGACAGAGGCTCCTCTGCAGACACTTCACATGGACGTGTGGGGCCCGGCCCCCGTCCGTGGGCAGGGTCACGAGCGCTACTTCCTGTTGGTGGTTGACGACTACTCGCGTTACACCACAGTCTTCCCCTTGCGCAGCAAGGGTGATGTCACTGAGGTGCTGATCAACTGGATCCGCGAGGCTCGTCTCCAGCTCAGGAGGAGCTTCGGCTCGGACTTTCCTGTTCTGCGTCTGCACTCTGACCGAGGTGGGGAGTTCTCCTCTCGCCTTCTACGAGACTACTGTCGTGCACGGGGGATCCGCCAGACCTTTATGCTTTCGGACTCTCCACAGCAAAATGGGATTGCTGAGCGCCGCATTGGCATGGTCATGGATGTCGCTCGTACGTCCATGATGCATGCGGCTGCCCCCCATTTTCTGTGGCCGTTTGCGGTTCGGTACGCGGCGCATCAGCTCAACCTTCATCCCAGGGTCTCTCGGCCCGCGATGTCCCCAGTCTTGCTGTGGACGGGGAAGGTCGGCGATGCGTCTGCGTTCCGTGTCTGGGGATCTCGGGCGTTTGTCCGCGACTTGTCTGCGGACAAGCTGTCCCCCCGTGCTGCTCCCTGTGTCTTCCTTGGCTTCCCCCCTGACGCTCCAGGGTGGCAGTTCTACCACCCCTCCTCTCGTCGTGTTTTGTCCTCCCAGGACGTCACGTTCGACGAGTCAGTCCCCTTCTACCGCCTCTTCCCCTACCGCACTCCTTCCCTCCCCCCGCCACCGGACTTCCTTGTGCCGGTTCCCCCCCCGGTAGACCCCCTCCCCCCTCAGGTTCCCGCCCCCTCAGGTGTGTCCCAGGTAGACGCAGTTGACCCGGTCGAGGTTGCTGGTGACTCTGGTACTGCTGCGAGTGCTGAGCCTGGGGGTGCTGACTCTGGGGGTGTTGTGCGCGTGGGTGCTGAGCCTGGGGGTGCCAAGCCTGGAGGTGCTGCTGCTGGGGGTACTGAGCCTGGGGGTGCTGCTGCTGGGGGTGCTGAGCCTGGGGGTGCTGAGCCGGGGGGTGCTGTGCCTGGAGCTGCTGAGCCTGGGGGTGCTGAGTCTGGGGGTGCTGAGTCTGGAGCTGCTGAGCTTTGGGGTGCTGAGGCTGGAGCTGCAGAGCCTGGGGGTGCTGAGTCTGGGGGTGCTGCGTCTTGCGCTGCTGAGCCTGGGGTTTCTCCTGGTGCTCCGTCTCGGCGGGAGCCCCTCTCTCCACAGGAGCTGCGCGAGTGGTTTGCTCGCCGCTGGAGGCGTACTGCTGGAGCTGGAGCTTCTTCGACCGCCGAGGGTGCTGGAGCCGCCGGTCCCGGAGCTGCTGGGCCTGCGGGTCCTACTGGAGCTGGAGCTGCTGAGGGTGTTGGTGTTGAGACTGTTGCTGTCTGTCCTGGCGGTGGTCCTGCTCCTGGTGCTGCTGGAGGTCCTGCCGCTGGAGGTGTTGTTGGCGCTGGTGCTGCCGCTGAGGGTGCTGGTGCTGTCCCTGCTGGGTCTGGAGTTGCCGCGCGACCTCGGCCGTACTTCGTTCCGCTTCTACAGCAGGTTCTTGGTCTTTCTCCTCCTGTAGAGTGTCCACAGCCTGTCCAGTCGCAGTCACTGTTGGAGCCTACCTCCCCACTGCCTGCTCCCTCTCCTTACACTGGTCCTACTGGAGGTCTTGCTGAGCGTCGTGAGCCTGCGTCTCGTCCCGCGTCGCCTGTTCGTCCTGCTCGCGCTAGTGGTCGCAGTTCGCGTCACCGTCCTCCTCCTGTCCCTGGCACGCACCGGATGTCTCTGCGTCCGTCCACTGCTCCTCTACCTTCTCCTCCTGAGTCCTCTCTTCCTGCGCTTGGCGACCCGGAGTCGGACTCCCTTCGTGCTGCCAGTCCTACTGTCACGCGTCTCCTTGCTACTGTCGTCACTGACCCCTCTTTTGAGTCCACTACTGCGTCTGCTCTTATCGCTGAGCTCGTCGACTTTGCTGCCCGCTGTCGTCTAGACTATGCTGCTAGTCTTGTTGCTGAGTCTGCGTCTGTCTGTCCTCCGTCCGTCGGGGGTGAGTGTGCTCTTGGCACGGACGTCGTTGAGGACAGGCAGGAGGAGTTCCAGTGTCTGGCTGCTGCTTCACCTCATCTCGCGTCTGTACTGCTTGCTCCTGAGGGAGACCCGGATGCACTAGACATCCCGACTCCGCGCTCTTACGCGGAGGCCGTAGAGGGTCCCTACTCCTCTCAGTGGCAGGCAGCTATGGATGCAGAGATGGCTTCCTGGAAGTCCACACGCACCTACGTTGACGCGGTTCCCCCTCCTGGGGCGAACATCGTCAGTGGCATGTGGATCTTCAGGGTGAAGCGGCCGCCGGGCTCTCCACCTGTCTTCAAGGCGCGGTACGTCGCTCGTGGCTTTAGTCAGCGGCAGGGAGTTGACTACTTTCAGACCTTCTCTCCCACCCCGAAGATGACCACTCTTCGGGTGCTGCTGCACATAGCCGCTCAGCGCGACTACGAGCTTCACTCTCTCGACTTCAGCACTGCGTTCTTGCAGGGTAGCCTGCACGAGGAGATCTGGCTGCGCCGTCCACCTGGCTTCACTGGGACTTTCCCTCCTGGCACCCAGTGGAGCCTCCGACGGCCAGTCTACGGTCTCCGCCAGGCACCGCGTGAGTGGCACGACACACTAAGGACTACACTTGCGGCTCTTGGGTTTGCTCCCTCTACTGCTGACCCGTCGTTGTTTCTGCGCACCGTCACTTCTCTCCCGCCGTTCTACATCCTCGTGTACGTCGACGACTTGGTCTTTGCCACAGCGGACACTGCTGGACTCGCCTACGTGAAGTCCGAGCTGCTAAAGAGACACACGTGCACAGACCTGGGTGAACTGCGCAGCTATCTTGGCTTGCAGATCACTCGGGACAGAGCACGCCGCACCATTACCTTGACTCAGTCACACATGGTGCAGCAGGTCCTTCAGCGCTTCGGCTTCACGTACTCCTCGCCTCAGGCCACTCCTCTGTCTACTCGCCACTCGCTCTCAGCTCTGCCTTCGGATGAGTCCGTAGAGTCGAGTGGCCCGTACCCAGAGCTTGTTGGCTGCCTCATGTACCTGATGACCTGCACACGACCTGACCTTGCATACCCTCTTAGCATTCTTGCACGCTATGTTGATCCTGGGAGACACCGACCAGAGCACATGGCTGCAGCGAAGAGGGTGTTGCGCTACCTGTGCAGTACGTCGGGCATGGGGCTAGTGCTTGGAGGGCGGAGTCCAGTGGTCCTTACGGGACACGCGGACGCTTCTTGGGCTGACGACCAGGCTACTCAGCGGTCGTCACAGGGTTACACCTTCAGCCTTGGTTCCGGCTCTGTCTCGTGGCGGGCTACTCGCTCGTCTTTGGTCCTCAGCTCCAGTTGTGAGGCTGAGATCTACGCAGGGGCCATGGCTGCACAGGAGCTTCGCTGGCTCACCTACCTGCTGACTGACCTTGGAGAGCCGCCTCGTTCTCCTCCAGTGCTGTACGTAGACAACAAGGCCATGCTGGCCTTGTGTCGAGAGCAGCGCCTGGAGCACAGAACGAAGCACATTGCTCTTCGCTACTTCCTTGCTCGTGAGCTACAGCAGCGTGGACAGTTGCGGCTTGCGTACGTGGCCTCTGAGGCCAACACTGCTGACGTGTTCACCAAGGCACTCGCGCCTTGTGACCATCAGCGCTTCTGCACCCAGCTGGGTCTTGTACCTGTCTTGCCTCACTTGCTCTCCTCTTGACCTTACTTGTACTGTTACATATATATACCTGCTCTTGCTTGTCTAGCTCTATATATATATGTGTACTCCTGCATGTGAACTGGCCTTATGGCCTTGTTGTTGTGCTCGGACTGTGTGGTGACTCTGTGATCCACCCTGAGCTTTGCTTGCTTTGCTTGACTGGTCTTGTGACCCCTTGTTCTCCCCCATTTTGCCAATGGGGGTGTGTCAGAACATTGTATAGCTTATACTGTTGTGTAGGCTATAGTGGGGTATCCCATAGGGGGTACAACCCAATTAGGGTTTCCTATTTGTACTCACTTCACTCATAGTTCATTTCATTCTCGTTCAGTTCTTCTCAACGAAAACTGCATCCGCCCGAGAAAAAATACCCGATACACGACAGCGAAATGCTTGCGATTGTGCACGCGTTCAAAGTATGGCGCTGTTACTTGATTGGCGCGGACGTGACAGTACGGACAGACCATAAATCACTATAGTACCTACGCGCACAGCCACACCTCAACCCACGACAGATTCGCTGGCTCGATTTCCTCGAGTCCAACTTTCACTACATGGTCACATACAAAAAGGGAGCCTCGAACATCGCCGACGCACTGACCCGCCCCACTGCCCAGATCCACACAATACTACTCGCCCAGACAAGCCCGCTACTGACACGCCTGGGTACCACGGGTACTAAACGGATCCATTCTTCACAGGAGGAAATTCGCAGCAGTTCGCAGCAGCAAAGGGAGTCTATTACGTAAAAACCGGGATTGACCGCGTCTGGGTGCCTAGGTATACACTGCTTCAGGAATTACGATTATAGAAGGCACATGACGGAGTTACCTCGGAGCATTTCGGAGTAAAAATAAACACGGCAGCAGCTGCAACGGTATTATTACTGGCCCGAAATGTTGACCGACGTGCAACGACACGTGGCTTCGTGTCCCACTTGTCAGCTCATTAAATCATCACGACAGCGGCCGGCGGGAGAGTTGCAGCTGATACCACCCCCAGAACGTGCTTGGCAGCACGTGACAATGGACTTCGTCACGAGGTTACCAGCCAGGGCGAGTGGGAACGACGCGATCCTGGTCGTCGTCGATCGACTGACGAAAATGGCACATTTCGCAGCCTACAAAAAATCAATCACAGCCGAAGAAACAGCACGCCTCTTCATCTCCACCGTCGTTCGACTGCACGGGATACTGTCAGATTTGTATGACATAGCTGTTGTAGGCTAAAGTGGGGTAGCACATATGGGGTACAGCTTTCTATGGTTGTATTTGTACCCAACTTTCACTTAGTCATTTCATTCTCGTTCCAACTTTCTCATGGTATCGAGCAGGTTTCCTCGTGGGAACTGTGCCTAGGGCCCACCACATCGAAAAAAAAATTCCTGCCCGCAGCGCGCTCCCCGAGTCGCACTCCCCTCTCTGCCTTCGTCGAGCCGCCCTACCGGCCACGTCGCGTCGCCCCTAGCGGCCTCCCTTGCGCCGCCCTTACTCGGCCCGTCGCCGCCCTTCACGGCCCGTCGCCACCCTAAGCGGCCCGTCGCCGCCCTCACTTGCGGCCCCGCCGCCCTCACTTGCGGCCCCGCCGCCCTCAGTTGCGGCCCCGTCGCCGCTCTCAGTTGCGGCCCCGTCGCCGCCCTCAGTTGCGACCTCGCCACCCTCACTTGCGGCCCCGCCGCCCTCACTTGCGGCCCCGCCGCCCTCACTTGCGGCCCCGCCGCCCTCACTTGCGGCCTCGCCGCCCTCACTTGCGGCCCCGCCGCCCTCAGTTGCGGCCCCGTCGCCCTCGGTTGCGGCCCTGCCGCCCTCACTTGCGGCCCCGCCGCCCTCAGTTGCGGCCCCGTCGCCCTCGGTTGCGGCCCCGCCGCCCTCAGTTGCGGCCTCGTCGCCGCCCTCAGTTGCGGCCCCGTCGCCGCCCTTTAGTTGCGGCCCGTCGCCGCCCTCACCTGCGGCCCCGCCGCCCTGACTTGCGGCCCCGCCGCCCTCACTTGCGGCCCCGCCGCCCTCACCTGCGGCCCCGCCGCCCTCACTTGCGGCCCCGCCGCCCTCAGTTGCGGCCCCGCCGCCCTCAGATGCGGCCCCTTCGCCGCCCTCAGTTGCGGCCCGTCGCCGCCCTCACGTGCGGCCCCGCCGCCCTCACTTGCGGCCCCGTCAATTGCTGCAGCGCCGCCCGCCACCCGAGCCGCCCGAGCCGCCTCACCCAGCCGAGCCGGCGATCACGGCGCCGCCCTGCAGCAGCACAACCGAACCGCCCACCAGCAGAGCAGCCAAGCCGCCGAGCCGCCCTGCAGCCGAGCCGCCCAGCCGCCCGACCGCCGAGCCGCCATGCACCCGAGCCGCCGAACCGCCGAGCCGCCAAGCCGCTCAGCAGCCGAGCCGCTGAGCCGCCCAGCAGCAGAGCCGCCGAGCCGCCAAGCCGCCCTACCGCCGAGCCGCCCGAGCAGCCCTGTCCGGTGAGCACAGCGCCTCTGACACTGCACTACCCTTTCCCTACTGCTTGCACTGCTAGTCTACTGTTGTCATGGCTACCCCTACTGTCCTCGCTTTTGACGCTGAAGGTCGAGCCATTGACTTTGACGTCTGGGTCGACGACCTGCAGCTATTCTTACAGTGCGATAGGGCAGACGGTCTCTCTCTCTTTGACCTCACCTCTGGCGCCTCTCTTGCCCCTACTGCTGATGCTGACGCCGCTGTTCGCTCCCAGTGGGCCACGCGCGACGCTGCTGCACGTCTTGCTGTGCGTCGCCACCTGCCTACCACTGAGCGCGCGCAATTTAGTCAGTACAAGAGTGCTCAGACCTTGTACGGCGTTGTAGTTGCGCGCTACTCTTCCCCTGCCACTGCTGCACTGAGCCGCCTCATGCTACCGTACCTCTTCCCTGACCTTGCTGCCTTTCCCACTGTCGCTAACCTCATTACGCACCTCCACACTAGTGACACTCGCTACCGCGCCGCGCTTCCTGCTGAGTTCTGCGCCAAGAACCCACCCCCCATGTACATCACTCTCTATTATATAGTCACCCGCCTCCCTGACTCCCTTCGTGTAGTCAGGGACCACTTCCTCTCAGTCTGTCCCACCACTCTCACTGTTAACCTCCTAGAGAAGGCCCTCCTAGCAGTGGAGAAGAGCTTAGTCGCTGTAGGAGCCTCTCGTGGTGACCCTTGCACCCCCATCTTTGAGGGGTGTTTCCCTTCCCCCTTTTTGCCCTCTGTCGCCTCTGCTGCTGCGGCCGACCTCGTTGGTCTTGAGTCGGTCGGTGCGGCATCTGCCCCTAGCGGGAGACGCCGCTCTGGCAATGGCAAGGGGGGCAAGGGCGTGGGTGGAGCTAGCGGGGGTGGTGGAGGTGGCGGTGGAGGCGGCGGAGGGAGTGGGGGTGGCGGTGGGAGTCGTGGCGGGGGTGGAGGTGTCGGTGGCAGCAGTGGAGGCAGAGGCGGCGGAGGCGGTAGCGGTGGGAGCGGAGGCGGCAGAGGTGGCGAGGGTGTAGGAGGCAGTGGTGGAGGAGGTGGAGCTGGTCGGGGTGGCGCTTCGCAGCGGAGCGGCTCCGATGGTGGTTAGCGCCAGCAGCAGCAGCAGTAGCAGCGTTCTCGGGACACCCCCCCCCCTCAGCAGCTCCGTGAGTGGTACGCGCAGCGTCAGCGTGGTGGGGGTTTTGGTCCGTGCACCTACGTCCTTCGCACCGGCGACCGCGCGGGTGAGTAGTGTGGGGGTGCCCACCCCACCCAGCGCTGCTTTGGCCGCCTGACGGACGCTTGGCGTCAGCACTTCCTGGAGGCTACTGAGATCCCCCGCTGGGAAGAGCTTTCTAGGGCAGGTGTAGCTATCTATGATCTTGAATTTGATGCTATCCTTGCTGCCATGTATGCTGTGACTATTAGTGTGGAGGGTGACTGTTTCCAGTGTTTCCCGCCGGACCCGGGCATTGAGACTGCTGCTCTAGGTACTGATGAGGCTGCTGCTCTAGGTGCCAGTGCGTCTGCGTCCTCAGGTGCTGGTGAGTCTGCGCTCTCAGGTACCGCGTCGGCTTCGGCCTCCCTCACCGTCACACTTGACTCAGGGGCTTCTCGCTCCTTCTTTCGAGACCGCACCTCACTCACGCCGCTTGGTCGCTCGGTTGCAGTCTCCCTGGTAGACCCCTCTAAGGGCCCTGTCCTCTCTCACTTCTCTACTGTCCTCCCGTGTCCTGCTGCCCCCTCTGGCACCTTGTCTGGTCTTTACCTCCCCTCGTTCTCTACGAACTTGGTGAGTGGTGCTGACCTACAGGATGCGGGGGTTCACCAGTTTACTCTTGCGAGTCAGCGGGTGACCCAGTGCTCGGACGCTTGCACAGGCAGGCACCTGGCCACGTTTACGCGTCGGCCGGGGTCGAGCCTCTACACCCTGACCACTGAGTCTCCTCCTGTCCCTGCGTCTGGCCAGGTAGCTGCGTCGGGTCAGGTGTTTGCTGCAGCGTCCAGGTCTGGTCCTGAGTCTACCCCCGGCTCGTGTCGCCTCCTCTCTCACAAGACTCACCTGTGGCACCATCCTCTTGGTCACCCCTCCCTGCCTCGTCTCCGAGGCATGGCTTCCCGTGTCCTTGTCTCTGGTCTTCCCCGGTCCCTCCCTCCCCTTCCTCCGGGGCCTGGTCCTTCCTGCGTCCCCTGTGTCGAGGGGCGGCTCCGGGCTGCCCCTCACTCCTCTCAGTTTCCCCCGACAGAGGCCCCGCTGTAGACGCTTCACATGGACGTGTGGGGCCCGGCCCGCGTCCGTGGACAGGGTCACGAGCGCTACTTCCTGCTGGTGGTTGACGACTACTCGCGTTACACCACAGTCTTCCCCTTGCGCAGCAAGGACGATGTCACTGAGGTGTTGATCGACTGGATCCGCGCAGCTCGTCTCCAGCTCAGGAGGAGCTTCGGCTCGGACTTTCCTACTCTGCGTCTGCACTCTGACTGATACGGAGAGTTCTCCTCTGGCCTTCTGCGAGCCTACTGCCGTGCGCGAGGCATCCGCCAGACATTTACGCTTCCGGACTCTCCACAGCAAAATGGGATTGCTGAGCGCCGCATTGGCATGGTCATGGACGTCGCTCGTACGTCCATGATGCATGCGGCTGCCCCCCATTTTCTGTGGTCGTTTGCGGTTCGGTACGCGGCGCATCAGATCAACCTTCACCCCAGGGTCTCCATGCTGGAGACCTCCCCAGCTTTGTTGTGGACGCGGAAGGTAGGCGATGCATCTGCGTTCCGTGTCTGGGGATCTCGGGCGTTTGTCCTCGACTTATCTGCGGACAAGCTGTCCCCTCGTGCTGCCTTGTGTCTTCCTCGGCTTCCCCCCTGACGCGCCAGGGTGGCAGTTCTACCACCCCTCCTCTTGTCGTGTTGTGTCCTCCCAGGACGTCACGTTTGATGAGTCGGTCCCCTACTACCGTCTCTTCCCCTACCGCACTCCTTCCCTCCCCCCGCCTACGCTCTTCCTTGTGCCAGGTCCCCCCCCGGTAGACCCCCTCTCCCCTCAGGGTCCTGCCCCTTCAGGTGTGTCCCAGGTAGACGCACTCGAGCCGGTCGAGGTTGCTGGTGACTCTGGTACTGCTGCGGGTGCTGAGCCTAGGGGTGCTGACTCTGGGGGTGTTGCACAAGTGGGTGCTGAGCCTGGGGGTGCTAAGACTGGAGCTGAAAACAGAAGACGAGCGGGTAGACCGCCAAGAAACAGAGCCGGAGCCAAGGCTGAATGTGTAACCCTGAGACGACCGCTGGGTAGCCAGGTCATCAACCCGAGAAGCGTCTGAGTGTCCAGTGAGGACAACTGACCCCGCCCTTCAAGCACGAGCCCCATGCCCGACGTACTGCACAAGTAACGTAGTACCCTCTTCGCAGCATCTGAGTGCACCTTTTGGTGTCTACCAGGAGCCGCGTAGCGTACCAAAAGGCCAAGAGGGTATGCAAGGTCAGGACGAGTGCAGGTCATCAGGTACATGAGGCAACCCACTAGCTCTGGATACGGGACGTTCGGCTCTATGGACTTGTCCGAAGGTGGAGCTAAGAGCGAGTGACCGGTAGCCAGAGGAATGGACTGTGGCGAGGACCAAGTGAAGCGAAGCGCTGAAGGACCTGCTGCACCATGTGTGAGTGGGTCAGGGTGATGGTGCGGCATGCTCTGTCCCGGGTGATCTACAAGACCAGACCTGTGCACGTGTATCTCTTCTTCAGCTCTGACTTCAAAAAGGGCGCAGTGCCTCATTGTCATCAGTGGCAAAAACCAAGTGCCGGGATGTAGAATGGTAGCAGCGAAGGAGAAACAGCGACGGATCTGATGTCGAAGTTGCAAAGCCAAGTGCCGCAACTGTCCTCCTCAGTCTGTTGTGCCACTCACAAGGCGCATGGCGGAGACCGTAGACCGGCCGTCGAAGGCTCCACTGGGTACTAGGAGGAAACGACCCAGTGAAGCGAGGTGGGCGGCGCATCCAGATCTTCTTGTGCAGGCTAACCTGTATGAAAGCAATGCTGAAGTCAAGAGAGCGAAGCTTGTAGTCACGCTGAGCTGCAACGTGCAGCAGCACATGAAGAGTGGTCATCGTCGGGGTAGGGGAGAAGGTATGGAAGAAGTCAACTCCCTTTCGCTGATTGAAGCCTCGTGCAACGTAACGAGCCTTGAAGATAGGCGGAGAACCCGGCGGCCGCTTCACCCTGAAAATCAACATGCTATTGACTATGTTCGCCCTAGGAGGGGGAGCTGTGTCGACGTAAGTGTCAGTGGACTTCTAGGATGCTATCTCTGCATCCATGGCTGTCTGCCACTGAGAGGAGTACTCACCCGCGATCGCCTCAGCGTAAGAGCGCGGGGTCGGGATGTCTGGTGCATCCGGGTCTCCATCAGGGGCAAGCAGCATGGCCACGAGATGAGGTACAGTGGCTGCAAGACAGTCAAAGTGCTCCTTCCTGTCCTGAAGGATGTCCGTGCCAAGAGCACACTCACCCCCGATGGACGGAGGACAGACAGACTCAGACTCAGTAACAAGACTAGCGGCGTAGTCGAGACGACAAGCAACAGCAAAGTCAACAACCTCAACGACTAAGGCAGACGCAACAACAGACTCCAACGAAGGGCCAATGACAATAGTGGCAAAGAGACGCGTAACAATAGGACTGGTGGCACAAACCAGATTAGACTCTGGGTTGGGTCCGCAGTAAGAGAGGACGCAGGAGGAGACGACATAGGGACACGCTCTGGAACAGAGGAAGGACGAAGTGCCATATGGTGCGTGCCGGGGACAGGAGGAGGACGCTGACGCGAAGCACGACGACCAGTGCGAACAACGCAAACAAGCAAGGCAGGAAGAGACATAGGCTCACGACGCTCTGTAAGCGAGGGAGCAGGCAGTGGGGAACCTGGCTGTAAAGGGAGACCAGTAGAAGACGGGAGGCTAAGAACCCTGCGAAGCACCAAGCCAGGTGGCGGGAGAGACGACGGTGACGGCGTAGCGAAGAACAGTCACGGCTGTGCAGTACCACCTGCACCAGCTCCTCCAGCACCAACACCTCCTGTACTAGTACCAGTAGCTCCAAAGCCTCCAGCAGCTCCAAAAAATCCAGCTCCAGCGCCTCCAACTCCAGCACCTCCAGCTCCCGGGTGACCAGCTCCAGCGCCTACAGCTCTAGTGTTCGCAGCACCACCAGCTTCGGCCGCTCCAGTACCTCCAGCTCCTGCGTCTCCAGTTGCAGTGCCTCCAGCCCCAGCAGCGCCACACCAAAGGTGGCAGTGCTGAGTGTACCACTCGCGTAGCTGCTGCGGCGAGAGAGCACCTCTAGAACCTCCAAGATGAGCACCTCCAAGACCAGCAGTGCCAGCTCCACCAACACCACCAGTATTGACAGTACCACCAGCTCCGGCAGCTCCAGTACCTCCAGTACGAGCACCCCCGGGACCAGCAGCTCCAGCACCTCCAGCAGCAGCACCACCACCACCAGCTCCAGTACCTTCAGTACGAGCACCTCCAGGACTAGCAGCTCCAGCAACTCGAGCAGTAGCACCACCACCAGCTCCAGAAACTCCACTAGCAGCACCACCTGGTACGGCAGCTCCAGCACCACCAGCGCGAGCACCCCTAGGACCAGCAGTGCAAGCACCACCTACACCTCCAGCACTAGCAGCTCCAGGGCCTCATGCTCCAGCAGCGCCACTCTGAAGGCTACAGCGCTGAGCGTACCACTCGCGCAACTACTGTGGTGAGAGAGGCTCCCGTTAGCTAGACCGCTGGGGCAAGGCACCAGTGGGACCTCCAGGACTAGTAACTCTAGCACCTCCAGTGCCTCTAGTACAAGCAGTACCTCCAACACCTCCAGGACTAGCAGCTCTAGGGCCTCCATCTCCAGCAGCGCCACTCCGAAATCTACAGTGCCGAGCGTACCATTCGCCCAACTACTGTGATGAGAGAGGCTCCGATAGTGTAGACGCACGACCCCTAGGCTCAGCACCCCCAGACTTAGCACCCCCAGGCTCTGCACGCTCAGGCTCAGCGCCCTCAGGCTCCGCACGCTTAGACGCAGCACCCCCGGGCTCCGCACTCGCAAGCTCAGCACCTTCAGGCTCCTCACGCTTGGGCTCAGCACCCCTAGGCTCCGCACGCTCAGGCTCAGCACCTCCAGGCTCCGCACGCTTAGGCTCCGCAACCGCAGGCTCAGCACCCCCGGACGCCGCACCCCAAGCAGCACCAGACTCACCAATGACCTCGACAGGCTCAACCAAGGGGAGTGGGTCTACGTGAGACACACCTGAAGGAACAGGACCCTGAGGAGGGAGGGGGTCTAATGGGGGGGGACCTTGAGCGAGGAAGAGCGGCCGGGGGGGGGGGGTAGTGCGGTAGGGGAAGAGACGGTAAAAGGGAACCAACTCATCGAATGTGACGTCCTGAGAGGGTAGGACACGGTGCGAGGTGGGGTGGTAAGACTGCCAGCCAAGCGCGTCAGGGGGAAAGCCAAGGAAGACGCAAGGAACGGCGCACGAGGAGAGCTTGTCCGCGGAAGTATTGCAGACAAAGGGATGATAGCCCCAGACCCGGAACACCGACGCATCACCAACCTCTCCCGTCCAACGCAGTGTAGGCAAGGTCTCTAGCAAGGAGACACGGGGCCCGAGGTTGAGCTGATGCGCAACGTACCGGGCCGCAAACGACTACAGAAAATGGGGAGCAGCCGCATGGATCATGGAGGTACGAACGACCTCCATTACTAAGCCAATGCGGTGCTCAGCAACCCCATTCTGTTGCGGAGAGGGCGGAAGCGTGAAGGACTGGACGATGTCCTCCCCATGACAAAAGTCCCGCAAGAGGTCGGAGGAGAACTCACCACCTCTGTTAGAGTGCAGACACAGGATAGGAAGGTCGGTGTCGAGCCGCTCGCGGAGCTGGAGACGGACAGTGTGGATCCAAGGGATCAAGACATCAGGGACGTCACCCTTGCTGCGCAAGGGGAAGACCGTGGTGTAACGCGAGTAGTCGTCAACAACCAGCAGAAAGTATCGCTCGCGGCCCTGTCCCTGGACACGGGCTGGGCCCCACACGTCCATGTGGAGAGTCAGCAGGGGAGCAGTCGTCGGGGGAAACGAGGAGAAGTGAGGAGCGGCGCGCTGCCGCCCCTCAACATAGGGAAGGCAGAGAGGGGCAGGCGAGGGTGGGGAGTCAGAGACCTGGGAAGACCAGAGACAAGGAGGCGGGAGTGCATGGCAGGCGTGGAGGCATGGAAGGGAGGGGTGACCTAGGCGATGGTGCCAAAGGAGAGTCTAGTGCGACAGGAGGCGACACAAACAGGGGGCTGCTAGCTAGCCTGACGCGGACGCAGATACAGCTACTTGAGGAGGCTCAGTAGTCAGTGTGTACAGGCTTGACCCAGGCCGACGGGTGAACGTGGCCAGGTGACGGCCCGTCCGTGCACACGTGCAAATCGCCACACACTGTCCTCCGGGAGTAAAGGTATTAATCCATTCATCTTAAAGAACGACGTTGCTCACCAATTTCATAGAGAACGAGGGGAGGTGAAGACCTGACAGTGAGCCAGACGGAACCGCCAGACACGGGAGAACAGTGGAGGAATATGCAAGAACCAGTCCCCCAGAGGGTCAGCCAAAGAGACTACAACCGGTGCTGCGAGCCGTGTGACTGTGGTGCTGTCGCGAAAGAAGGAGCGGGAAGCACCTGAGTCAAGCGTGAAGGTGTGCAAGGCCTCAGCAGGCGCAGTACCAAAGAGAGCAGACTCACCAGCACCTAGAGCAAACTCACCAGCACCAAAAGCAAGAGCCGCTATACCAGGGTCAGGCGGCACACACAGGTAACAGTCACCCTCAGTACTAATAGTCAAAGCATACATGGCGGTGAGGATAGTGTCATAGTCTAGAGCAAAGACATCCACCTTGTTCCAAAGCAGGTCTAGCCAACGGGGGAGCTCAGCCTCGTTGCCAAACACTGCACGCCAGGCGTCGCTCAGACAGGCGAAGCAGCGAGCCTGTATGTGACCAACTGTCCCGCAAGTCTGACCAGCCCGATCACCTGTGTGAATGACGTACAGGCAGTGGACACTACTCCAAGTCCCCCCACCCTGAGTCTACCACTCTCGAAGCTACAGGCGCCGCTGGGGTGTAAGGGTCTCGCACGGACGCCGCTGCAGCTGCATCTGGCCACCGCCAAAAAACTCCGTACTGAACAGCTCCACCGGGATTGCTACTACTGCCACCGCCACCACACCTACTGGCGCACCACTCACGAAGCTGGTGGGGCATCCCCACCAAATAGCTCCACAGCGTCTGCTACTACAGCTGCCACCACTCCCACTGCTGCCACCGCCGCCATCATCACTCCCACCGCTACTACGAAGTGAAGTCATAGCAGGCAAGCAAGGAGGTGCATGACCAGTAGGGCAGTACGGA